CACTACCAGTACCACTACCACTACCACTACCGCTACCACTGCTACTACTACTACTACTACTACGACGGCGACTACTACTACTACTACTACTACTACTACTACTACTACTACTACTACTACTACTACACTAGTACACTACTACACTACTACACTACTACACTACTACTACTACTACTACTCCTCCTCCTCCTACTACTACTACTACTACTACTACTACTACTACAACGACAACGACAACGACAACGACGACTACTACTCTCTTCCACAAACCCAACAGCAGGGTCTTGGGTGATCTGCGCCACGCGAAGACGCAGGCCCCCACACGCAAGTATCGGGAACTTCATAACTCGATTAGGGTTTGGGGGTTTATTGTGCTATACTTATTGGGAAGACCTAGGAATAGCATTTCTTCATTTTCCCTGTTCCCCAGATCGTACACTGCCACACCTCTGAACGCCCACCAGGCAGAAGCAAAACAAACAATACGAAAGTGTGGGCCCTACACGTCATGAAGCACCGGTTGAACCCTAAAGCTATACAGACCTTCCTCCACAAAACATACCTATCTATCTGTCGATCATCTGCCTTCTGTCTGTCTATCTGTATATATGTACACATACACACATGTACAAATATATGTGCGTATGTAAACATAGACATACATTTGTCTGTGTAAATATGTTTTTGAATCTGTATATATATATATATAACACAGATATGTATATACACATGTATGGAAACACCGAATTCCTGCAACCAAAACAAGAGGCCGAAGCCTCTTAAGCAATCACTGAACTTCAAAACGCAACAGACTCAAAGAAGGAACCTGTAAAGGAACCCTGTACTAGGCTAGCCCTTTACAGCCCCATATTTGAAAATGAATCATAAAAAAGATCCTCTGAGGCCCAATTTAGGGAAAACACAAATGTCCCAAAGGCCTACCTCGTTTAAAGTACCCTAACCTTATCTCCAAACCCTCCCCACGTAACTCGAAACCACAAGTGACCTTCCCCTCCCTAAACAATAAACCTCAAGCCCTGAACCTTGAACCCTGAACCCTGAACCCTGAACCCCAAAACCCCAAAACCCCGAAACCCCAAAAAGCCTAAATGCCAAACCCCTAAACCCTAAACCTTACACCCCTAAACCCTAAACTCTCTCTCGGTCTCTCTGTCTCGCTCTCTCTCTCTCTCTCTCTCTCTCTCTCGCATGCGGACGTCCGGTGTGCAAACATGCAGGCCAAAAAAGTGGCAAATCCTGTAGCCAATTTACACCCTGAGCCCTACATCCCTAAACCCTAAACCATAGACCCTAAACCCTAGACCCTAAACCGAAAAAGATTTTTCCCGGGCCCCGCAGCGCGAAGGAGTTCGTGCTCGAAGTGCTGGCGTGGGCTCACCTCGAAGCAGTCTCGTGCTTCGAGTTTGGAGTTTTTTGTTTGGGTTTAGGGTTTAGGGTTTAGGGTTTCGAGTTTCGGCCTTAGGGTTTAATTAAGGGTTTAATTGTCTTTCTCTAAGTGCATTGGCCCTTTCTCGGCATGACTGGGTTTAGGCTTTGGCGTTCAATGTCGGTTTGCGGCCTTAGGGTTTAATGAGGGTTTAGGGTTTAATGAGGGTTTAGGGCCTGAGCTTGCGGAACTTTAGTATTTGGGTTGGATAGGGCGCGGTTTGAGACGAAGGGTTCCTTGAAGCTTGTATAGGAGGGCTCTACAAAATCTCTGGGTTTGGGGTTTATGTTCCGATTTAGGGACTCCGGTTTTTGTTCGGGTCTAGGATTCAGGGTTTAGGGGTTTAGGGTTGGCAGGCTGGGGATTTGGGTCATCTTTCTTTTACATAGACAGGCCCTGGCATTTAAGATGAAAGGCGCATGACCTTCGAGCTTTCAGGCATATGCTTAAGTGTCATTGTCTCTATAAGGCTTAGGCTTACCGGCTTTAGCATCTGCTTTTGTGGCTTCTAAACCCTAAACCCTAAA